ATCACTGGCATTGCTAAATTTTACACAGAATTTGATATTCAGTGGTGGCCTTGTCGCTGTCATGTGCTTAGCAGGTGCTGAAATACAGAAAGGTCAGTGAAATTATTGATTTAGTTCCGGCTGTGAAATCCAATTGGTACACATGCGCGACTGATGCATGTGTATATCAGCTCCAACTTTTTACACATATGACTGATACATTGTTAGCACTGTTGGTTTGTTTTCCACTGTTTATACATTTACATCGGCACATGTACGTGATTAGCACATTAACACCGTTGGTCTCTTCACATGTATTAGTTTGGTTGCGACCTTAAAAATTTGTATTTTGGGCTAGTGTGCGTGCCCTCTGTGTATCTGTATGAGTCTGTAATTGTCGGAACACCTAGTTATACATACATACTTACTTGAAATTACATACACAAACTAAAATTATACGACGCAGAGGGAAACAGAGGTAATGATGAAGAATGAAGTAACGAGATTCTGAGGAGGCGAAGCTGAATCCCGGAGATGGGAAGGAGTGTTTTTATACCCTGGTGGCCGCAGATTATAAAGATTGCAAAACTGTAGCGGGGTTAGGATGTTCAAACATTGAATTGGGGAAGAAAACTGTAAATCATTATGCGAAATATTATGTGACAATTCCGGCAGTCTCTATAAATTTGCATCGGCACTTTTATGCCACTGGTGTATAAAAATTTCAGACTTTTCTTCTTTGCTTTAGTATCGCTATCCTTTTTTTTCTTGCATTTCTTTTACCGCTTCGATTTAACTGTCCTTTTTGGTGATAATTTTCAAATCTACCAATTTTTTTTAGGTACAATGAATGTCGGCGATTTGATCCTGGCGAATACTTTGTTATTTCAGTTGTCCGTACCATTAAATTTTCTTGGATCAGTATATCGAGAAGTAAAGCAGGGATTGGTGGATATGCAGCTCATGTTTTCGTTGCTCTATCTCAAAAGCAATATCATTGTAAGTCCTCGAAATTTTACTCAAAAATTAGGTAATTTCAACTAAGTTTTGCTTGATTTTCTATTTTATTTAATTCTCTTGATTCTATTTTTTTAGACGAATTTTCTTATTTGATTTTTGGCCATGTATAATATTTTTATAAAATTTCGACCCCGAATTCTTTGAGTCTAGTTTTTATAAAATTTCGACCCCGAATTCTTTGAGTCTAGCCTCTGCAGCAAAAACGATTGGGGTAAGTACCCGGGTCATAGTTTTTTATTGAATTGAGTTTAATAAATGTAAATTTGGGTGCGACGTTGCATGAAAAGGTTAAAGATGCACAAGAGCAGGCCACCATATGCCTTAAGATTACTTTTTGATCAGCTAATTACTGTACCTGAAATTTTTAAGTAAGTGAATTACCGTAGGAAAGTATTTGCAAAAGTCGTTTTGCAAAGAAGTGATGCGCATCAAATTTAGTTCCTAGTAGGCATCATTTTATTGCTAGGTTTCGAAAATTTCCTCACCATGTTTGTTTTGCAGGAAAAACCAAATGCGCCGAGCTTAAAAATTAGTATGACCGATTCGTCGATTTCGTTCAGAAATGTCACTTTTGGTTATCTTCCCGGACAGCATATACTGAAAGATCTCAATATGGATATTCCGGCCGGCAAAAAAGTTGTTTTTTTCCTAAATTTTGGGATCTTTTTACGTACTTTTATACTTTTTTAACAGCTGCTGCTCCATCGTTACGTTTACGATGAGCGTGGAATCGAAGCCTGACCATCAAGTAATGCAGTATTAGTAAAAGCAGCTGAAAAAATTACACAGCTGAAGGAACACACTGCTATTTATAGTTAAACCAAGTATAAGTGTACATTTATATGCTGATAAATCCTTCGATCTTCTTCTACGTAAATTTGCTTTTTGTACAGGTGGCAGTTGTGGGTGGAAGTGGAAGTGGCAAATCAACAATCGTCCGGCTTTTGTACAGGCTTTTTGATCCAGAAAGTGGCGGAATCTATATTAACAATCAAAAAACCACTGACGTACAATTGGAAAGTTTGCGAAAGTCAATTGCAGTTGTGCCGCAGGTTTAAAATTCTTATTTTTTTTATTACTTGTTTTGTCCCAGGAAGTTTTCACTCTCCTTCGATAGCATGTTTTGCAAATTCTCTCCATCTTCCTCTGTTTTCCTCTTTGTTTTTTATTAGTTAATTTTTATTCCTAGGTCCTTATATACACCCACCCATACTGATGTGTTTTCATTTCTGTAAAATCTTTGAGTTGTGGCACGAACTTTGCTTTCAGGATTCAGTCCTTTTTCATGACACAATATTCTACAATATCCAGTACGGCAAACCGAGTGCGCCCAAAGAAGAGGTAAATCGTGCCAGAATGTGTGTGTGTCTTTTGCATTTATACAATGCAAAAATGCACATTGTCTAAAGGTTGTCTGTGTGTACGTCTGTACCGAGTTTTCATCTCGAGACTTACAAAAGCTGCAAGGCTAAAATTTTGGGAACTTAATCTACACACATGTACCCCTATGTAGGGGCTCCCCTGTCCCCAAAGCGGGCTTTCTTGCTCACGTAGTTCCCATGCACGAGCTTGTAAAAATTTTTGACGGGTAAGTTGCTAACTCTTAAACCAGTGAAGTTAGAGGGTTGAAATTCTGGGTGATATTCTCCGTCTAAGTAGAACTTAATGACTTCATACTGAGCTCCCAGGTTTGCGTGGTTCTCACGTATGTGCCTATGAAAATTTTTGGCCGGTAAATTGCTGACTTGGGAACCGGACATCCAGAAAGCATGTTTTCTGACAGTCGTTGGCGAGTCTCAATTCTTTTACCTAGGAGCATCTGCCGGAAAAAACAGTACCATTAGCGACAAAAACCTACGAGGAACTATGCAGAAAAAGTGTCTTTTCACCGGCAGTCGATTATTTTTTAATCTTTAATCTTTTTCACTCTCTTCTCTACTTTCATTCT